GGTTTGGTTCATCCACAGTATCCACAGGATCACTTTTGTGGCTGCTTGACGTCTGCCCGGAGTGTCCTTGTATGTTTTGGCGGGCCCCGGCAAACTTTCTGTAGGCCCGCTTTTCGTTGCCTTGCTGAGTCAAGACCCTTTGGACGCAACGGCAGAGAGAGAGAGAGAGAGAGTGGTAACAATTTTCTGTGGTCTCCAACATGTTTGTGTTTTGGAGGTTGGCATATATGATATGGAAGAGGGTCAGGACTTATATCATTTTCTGTGTACTTCAGATGTAGGCCAAGCTTGATATGGAGCCCGCAAAAATCTGGCAACTGCCTGGTGTCTTTCGCGGTGTCACCAATGAGAACGGCCTATGAGGTCCCCAAATCATGGGGTCTTCTTTAGCGGGGCCACCCGTTTGCCACCCGGATCCGCTTCCTCGCAAATGGTTCTCGAGACATTCCCAACAGTGACTTGAGCCAACGGAGTTTTTTTTGCGGGTATTAGGGGGGGGAGTCGGCACTCGGGTATGGGGGGATATAGGGGGGGATGGGGGGTATGAATGCTTGTTCATAGGCCCCTAAGGATCCTAAGGTTGTCAGTACGGCTGCTTGCCGCATGACGTCACGCGTGAGGTATTGTAAAACTAGCCTCCCCCTTTTCAAGATGCTCGCCGTTGAACTTGCGACCAGCTGGATTTCCGCGTTTCATGTCCGGCGGCGATTGGTGGCAGCTTTAGCCCCACCGCGCGCGGAGTTTTGCAGCAATGCCGCTTGGACGGAGTGTGGAGGGTCAAAACAAGCACACCCGGAGGTCCCCTGATGGTGACGCTTGTTTAAAGTGAGTCTCCCCTTAGGTGGGGCAAAGTTTTGTAGGCAGCCCTTGTTCTCAGTCATTTGATGGCAAAACCGCAGTCAGCCAGATGTTAGTTGGGCCTTACCGAGGTTCAATTGGGGTTCCATGAGCGTGTGCGAACTTGATCTTGGAACTTATGAGCTTCATCCTGGAGAAAAGCCGGTTTGCAGTGCCGGCAGGCAAAAAATGAGTTGAATGGAGCTTGAGGCATGTGCATTCAATTGGGCTGGTTGCACTCTTGCTCTTCATATGGCCCATCGCGCGGACTTTCAGACGACCTAAATTCATCTCCGCCAATATGCATTTCACAACCTAGTCCTTGCGTAACATTGGCTGTGGAGATTCCTAGGCCGGCCCCTCACGGGGGCTAAGGTTTCTTCACTCGGCATGGGATTGTTTCATAGCTTGCGGTTCCGCTAGAAATCAGGCTGCTGGATGAGTGAGACTTGCGACCTATAGGGTAATTTGCTCAGCCAGGTGCCCCAAAGTTAGCTCCCAAGAGTTTCCGTTCTTGGGGCACTTCTTACTTAGATGTCATACTTCCATTTGAGTAAGACTATGTCGTATGTTTTTCAAGGGAACCTATCACCACTGGACATAATTTGCGGTTTTGCAAGTGTGTGTTTTTTGCAAATGAAAGCATACAACAACCTGTTGGGGTGGGCCTTTGTGGATCCACTTACCCTTCGCTGCCTTCGCTGGTCACCGAAGGTGCATGGATGTTTGTTCTTCATGGGGATGCGTCGGGATGTCTAAGGTCTAAGTTGGTGAAACCTTCAGGATGGTGTTTCAGGGGGTGCCAGCTGGGAACCAACCCTTTGAAACTTTGTCGATTAGGACATCTCCCTATTTCACATTTGTAGCAAGGCGGGGCCAATATGTTTGCATATATTTCCGCAGGTCCCAACTTCAATCATGCTTGGGTTCGGTTCTCAGTGCTGCAGGACTGAAACCTCAAGGCAGCAAAGATGTAAAGCTTGGGAGAGAAATTCCACTTTCGATCCCAGTAGCGACCAGCCGAGTTGTGCTTCTTCTTTTTTGCGGGGATGGAGGTTGGGGTTTCAAGAGGGATTTGTGTTTTTCATTCTGTCACAAACATGGGAGCTCAAACCCCCCCCCCTCCCCCCAGTATGTTTGGTATTCAAAACGGGCATGAAACCAGACTGCTTAAACGCATTGCCTCCCCTCATGTTCCAAAACGCCCAGGATTATCCTTGTATTTTGGTGCTGTCTTAAAGGGAAGTGGGTGGGTGTGACTTTGTTTGAGGGTAAACACCTTTTTGTGGCTTTAAAGGAAAACCACAAATTGCAAACCCGAATTTCCGTTTTTTTGCCCCCCTCTCCCGTCACCCCCCCCGTTTTTGTGCTTTAAAGGAGGGGGGAGGGTGGCCATGACGGCTTTCCAAGGGCGCTCCCCAACCGCAAGCGGCAGCGGAGCAGCGAGCTGCCCCTGGGCGACCAGAGTGGGTCTCAATTGCGCGGATTGGAATTACCAGTTTCTTTCAGGTTTATGATTCTAGGGGTTGCTTCCGTTTCAATTTTCCCTAAGGGTCCCGACTGTTTTTGGGCCCTCCAAATGGAATGTTTTTGAGGCCCTGTGAGGGGTCAGGGTTCTCCATTGCAGGGTCCGGGGGTCTGCATTGGAGGGGTCACTTCCTGAGTTCATGAACTTGAGAAACTTTTTGGGTTTCGACCATTCTAGTGGTAAATATAAAGTTTGGTTGCTTCTTTTTGGGCCATCCACTCAGCAAGTGAGCTCTAGGGGTTGCTTCCTTTTCAATTGTTCCATTCTTTTCAAGCATCGTTCTGTTCAAAACCCGGCTGTTTCCCCTGGGTCTTTAAGATGGTTTCCTGAAAAGAAAAACGGATCCCTGGAAAGAATGGGGAAGATACCCCTAGAATGATGGGTTGATTAAGCGTTGGCTCAAGTACTGGACGGCTGCCGGAAGGGCCTGAAATAGCCAAAAAGGTGGAATAGAGAGCTAGAGAGCGCGAGAGAGAGAGAGAGAGCGAGAGAGAGAGAGAGAGAGAGAGAGAGAGAGAGAGCGAGAGAGAGAGAGAGAGCGAGAGAGAGAAGCTCCTTTCTTTTTTAACCACAAACAAACACCGGCCAAAAGTTATTCACTGTGCTCCGGTTTTGCTTGGTTTGGAAACATTCCTGCAGGATTTGGTCCATCCACAGTTTGCCCCTTGCGTTATGTCACGAAAATCAAATCCCAGGAGTCCACAATACGAAGCTAACCCCACCCCTTTCCCTTGAAGGCAGGCTCTCCCATGAAATTCTAGGGCGTGGTTCATGGGTGTGCTATGAGGTCAACTTGGCCGCAAATCAATTGCTTCGGTTTTGCTTTGGTTCTTGTCATTGCCAGCGCCATTGTTCCAAAAGCAACAGGGTGCAACTTTTTGGGGTTGGGCTGAAGAAACAGACGAGAGGCAAAGCCCGCCTCTTGGCACCAGGGCGCTCTCGCGGTTCCAGGATCGATCCCTTGCTGGCGCGGCTTCTCTCCGAGGAGAACTTGGAGGAGAACGCTTTGCGCTTGGGCCGCCTGTCTCCAAGGAGTACCGAAGGCTTCCTGCTCTAAGGGTCCCGACTGTGTTTGGGCCCTAATGGAATATTTTTGAGCTCCCGGGAGGAATTGGTCGGGGTTCTCCATTGGAGAGGTCATGACCCTTAGGGTGAGTTGCCCCTTCGTTGATTTTGAGCCTCACCTTTTTGGGGACCGTTGGGTCAAGGGAGCGGGGGTCGTTCAAGGCTTTTGTTTGACCATATGGCATAGCCGCCAAAGACGACGGGGGGGTGGGGCCAGCGTGAGATTACTATCTAAAAGATGATGGCTTTGTGGGTCCCATGTTAATCTGCGAGGGAGTTAACACCTACTGTGTAAGCATCCTGCTGGTGGCTGGGCACCCCACTGCTCCGCGCTCATCTGCGAACCGGCGTGCATGTGTGCGTGTGCGTGTGCGTGTGCGTGTGCGTGTGCGTGCGCGTGTGTGGATGTATGCGTGTTTTTGTTTGTCAGTCTGTCTGTCAGTCTGTCTGTCAGTCTGTCTGTCAGTCTGTTTGTTTGTTTGTTTGTTTGTTTGTTTGTTTGTTTGCGTGTGTGTGGCTGTGTGTGTGCGCGAATTATCTGAGTGGCACCCTGTTCACCAAGCTTCAGTGATATTTCAATTGGAAGCGACTCGGACAACCTCAACTGGTTGGGTGACACCATCCAAACAGAGATTTCAACCAGCTACATTTCCTTCATTCGGGGACCCAGGCTTGCTTCAAGCCACAGCGTGGCGTCCCAGTTTGTAAGGAAGGTCAACACCAAACCGGTGCAGCTATAACAAACCCCCTCACTAAGTGGGCAACCCTTATCAGCATGACATTCCAGGCACGTAAGCATGGAACTTAAATGACCTGCAGCAATCCAAGATAAACAAACCTGTTCGAACTGATCAGATGGCCGGAGCCTTTGCTGTGATCTTGCTCAAACTGCGAACCTTACTTCCCCAGAATTAGCTCCGCTTTTTGCTTCTTTTTGCTTTTTTGGGGTCCCGTTTGTGTTCCACTAACCCGGCGTCCGATTTTTCCGGCCTAGCTTCGAGGTTTCAAGGCGTGGGCGGTTTACAAGCGTGATGTAGGCCCTGAACTTGACACCTGATTTCAGACATTGGATTTGGAAAACCTGCGGAACACTCAAAGTGGACAGGGCCTTAGGATGTTGGGGAGACCAACACTGCACACTTTAAGATGATTCTCGAAAACACGGAAAAAGTGCAGAATGCTTGGACAGAGAGACAGCAGAAGGCACGTCCGGTTTCATGTTGGCGGAATGCTGTGGGTTCAAAACTCACTCCCCGAGTTCCGCCTCGGACTTTGGTCACATTTCGGGACAAGGGCCATGTTGGCCGTACATGGTACATAAGTTCGGTGCTAACCCACTGGATTGGAAGTGAGTAAGTATTTCGAGCCACTGAAGAGTTTGTAAGTTGGATGCCGCACTATTGGAATGCAAGGGGCTACATAAGCAGAATGGGGTTGTTGTTTTCATGAAGTCATAGGAAGAACGCGTCATTCTTGTGCCGTCAGTCGAAGTCATTTCCCTTGCCGCAGCTTTTCTCGGCTTCCTTCTAGCAGCTCCGCGCCTTACGCCCCAAACCAATCCGAACTCGCGATGACGTGCTGCTTCGAGGGATGCTTCAGCTGCTTGGCTGCCAGGGGTTCAATCGAACTTCGGAATTTGGCGGTTCCCTTCGCGAGTTTTGAGCCTTTTGCGGGTTTGTTTGGACCAGTTGCTCCCAGCCGAAGCAATCGGGAAGCTGACTTTCGGGGGAAAAATGTGTCTCTGCCTGCTCCCCCGAGTTCCACTTCGGACGTGAAGCACTTTGGACGTTTCCCACTCAGCGAAACAAGGAGTGAAACTTACTTCCCTTAAGGTCCTGAGCTTTCTATCTTTGGCACGGCCATTTCTAGGTCCCCCGGCTGGGTGCAACTTTTACCCTTTCTTTCTTGGGGGGAGGGTTCCCCTGCTAAAATAGACTACAGAGAAAAGAAACGGTACCAACTGATTCTATTCTCTCTACTGGAGGACCTAGATTTTGGTGGCCCTAAGGGGCATGACCAATGCAGACCATGGAGAACCCCGACCAATTCCTCACCGGGCCCTCAAAAACAACCCATTTGGAGGGCCCAAAAACAGTTGGGACCCGTAGGGGGTACACAAAAAGTTCAGACTTTGTCATTTGTTTGGCCCTCACTCGATCGTGGCCGGAAGCTTGGGTCACGGTGCATTGCCTTTCGGATCGATCGATTCCGCCGTAGGCTGGTTCGCCTCCGAAAGTGCGCCGGAGAAGAAGCAGCCTCCGAGCAAAGACGCTTGTACCGAAATCCTCCCGTGTGGTCAACCAAACTTGTTTCCATGTTGGACGTATACAGGCTGTATATATATATATATGCCTACTTACTGCTATGTATGTATGTCATGGCATGTAATGTAATGTAATGTATGGAATGTATGTATGTGAGTGTGTAATGTAGGTACGTATTAATGTAATGTATGCATGTATGTAATTTAATGTAATGTAATGTAATGTAATGTATGTATGTATGTATGTATGTGTGTATGTCAATGTATGCATTGTATGGTTGCATGTATGTATGTAATGTATGTAATGTATGTAATGTATGTAATGTATGTAATGTATGTACTGTATGTAATGTATGTAATGTATGTATGTATGTATGTATGTAATGTAATGTAATGTAATGTAATGTATGTATGTATGTATGTATGTATGTGTGTATGTATGTATGTATGTATGTATGTATGTATGCAATGTATGTATGTATGTATGGTTCTATGTATGTATGTATGTATGTAATGTATGTATGTATGTATGTATGTATGTATGTATGTATGTATGTATGTATGTATGTATGTATGTATGTATGTATGTATGTATGTATGTATGTATGTATGTATGTATGTATGTATGTATGTATGTATGTATGTATGTGTATGTATGAATGTATGTATGTATGTATGTATGTATGTATGTATGTATGTATGTATGTATGTATGTATGTATGTATGTATGTATGTATGTATGTATGTATGTATGTATGTATGTATGTATGTATGTATGTATGTATGTATGTATGTATGTATGTATGTATGTATGTATGTATGTATGTATGTATGTATGTATGTATGTATGTATGTATGTATGTATGTATGTATGTATGTATGTATGTATGTATGTATGTATGTATGTATGTATGTATGTATGTATGTATGTATGTATGTATGTATGTATGTATGTATGTATGTATGTATGTATGTATGTATGTATGTATGTATGTAATGTATGTATGTATGTATGTATGTATGTATGTATGTATGTATGTATGTATGTATGTATGTATGTATGTAATGTATGTATGTATGTATGTATGTATGTATGTATGTATGTATGTATGTATGTATGTATGTATGTATGTATGTATGTATGTATGTATGTATGTATGTATGTGTATGTATGTATGTATGTATGTATGTATGTATGTATGTATGTATGTATGTATGTATGTATGTATGTATGTATGTATGTATGTATGTATGTATGTAATGTAATGTATGTATGTATGTATGTATGTATGTATGTATGTATGTATGTATGTATGTATGTATGTATGTATGTATGTATGTATGTATGTATGTATGTATGTATGTATGTATGTATGTATGTATGTATGTATGTATGTGTGTATGTATGCATGTATGTATGTATGTATGTATGTATGTATGTATGTATGTATGTATGCATGCATGTATGTAATGTATGCATGTATGTATGTATGTATGTATGTATGTATGTATGTATGTATGTATGTATGTGTGTAATATATGTATGTATGTTTGTACTGTATTGTATTGTAATGTAGTGTAATGTAATGTGGTGTAGTGTAGTGTAATGTAATGTAATGTAATGTATGTATGTAATGTATGTATGTATGTATGTATGGTATGTAATGTAATGTAATGTAATGTACTGCTTTAATGTAATCTAACGTAACGTAACGTCATGTCTTGTAATGTATGTATGTTTTTGGGTGCACGCAAGTTTTGTTATGAGGCCACCCTCACACAGTCGTTCCTTTTCCTTTGTCGTGCGAGGATTCGACGCGCCGTCACCATCACCACAAGGCGACGCCACCAGCATCACCAAAGATGGAGGCAGGGCTTTGGCAAGGGTCCGCCTGCTTCGATTCGAACCCAGTCATGTGCATGCCCGGGATCGAACAAATCGCTCAGCCATTTCCTCTTGTCACTTTTGCGATGAGCCGTGACCACTTTTGTGCAAAGTTTGATGGAAACTCGTAGACAAGCTCCCGGAACATCGGGGGAGTGCATCGGCGCTTGTGAGAACATGTGCCGTGCATAGGACAAAAGCTCGCCCTCAGGAATGAGTACTTGCGAGGGTTCAAGCGTTGAAAGTTGGTCAGGCTTGGCACATAGGTTGTGTGTCAGAGTCCTATGCCAAAATGGTCCACAAATTCATGAAGTCAGAAATGGAAGTATTCAAAGCTGGTTTCCTTCCTTTGGCTGTGTTCGAGCGCTTGGAGTAGATGCCCTGCCTAAAAGAAACCGGAAAGCTTTGCCAGCCCAGGGAGGCCCAACTGTCATTTTAATTTTAAACCAATATTTTTGCGTGGTCAGTCAACAAATGTTAAGACTCGACGATGCCAGTTGTGACAAGCTCCGACGAATGCCATCAGCTAAGATGTGCAGGTCTCACGACTCACGAGTCCAAGTTGAGTTCGACCTTGAGAGCCCACATTCGCAAGCCATGGTTGTTGTTGGGAAACATTGTTACATTTTTGTTTTTGTGGTTTAGTGGGATATCCTCACTTAACTGCTAAACATCAAGTTTTTGCTGCCCTTTCAACGTCAACCAAGCAGCTACCAGCAAAAAAACATGTTGGGTCCAAGGTCCTGGGGCCAAGGACCTTGGGGCGTAAGGTGATCACAATCTCGAGATCTCTTCTACGGGCCCCTTGTTAGGTCTTACCTTCCGCATCGGCGGCTTCGTTTTTCAGTGGTCGGCTCCGGTGCAGACCGCCGGCGAGTTGGGAACCGGGTATGGCTCAAAATGTGGCACGGGAGGGGTGAATTACGCAGGTTTTGGTACCCATGTTTCCACCCAGGGTTCCGTTTTGGAATTCCGGTTTTTGGAGCCAACGCCAACTGTTTTCTGAGGTCACCTACTCCGTCACGGGCATGCCTCTGGTGGTGGAGCCTGAGGGCAACCAGGTGCACTACTCCCTGACGGGCATGCCCATGTACCCAGAAGGCCGGGCCATTTTTTCAATTCCCGAGGCGTTGAAGGCTGGCCCCACGAGCGCAGCTCAGCAACCCCACTAGGCCCGAAGAGCCTCAAGTTTTCCCAAAGGCAGGGGGAACGAATTTGAGGTGCATGGAGATGTCTGGCAATGACTAGTAATCCAACATTGGAACACCAACAGTGTGCTTGTTTCCTCTTCGGGACCGGATGGTTTCAGATTTCTGTCGGCTCAATGCGGTCCGCAGGTCGCGAGCAGCTCGAGCCGATGGCGCTGGCCTAAGAGAAGCGAGTATCCCCCTCGATTGAGCTGAGTCTTGGGGTCAGTATATTGGCGGTTCCTGGGGGGTATCAAAGTCAGAGTCTGGGGGGTATCAAAACCGAAGCTTTTTCCAGGCGGGGACCTCTTATTTGTGCAAGACCCCTTACCGGGGTTTGGCGGTGTAACAACCAATTTGGCGGTTCCTGGGGGTTATCAAAGTCAGAAGTAGGGCTTGTTTCCCCTCAACCCGCCCACTTAGGGGGTGACTTTGACCATGGCAAAATCATGAGGCCAGTCTTCACATTGAGTACTCTCCCACCCCTTTCACGTGGAACCCTTCGACGTTCGGCGGGGTCCTGGTTTGGAAACAAGGACCATCTTCCTTTTAAAGGGACCGGGTCCCGAACGTCGAACGGCTCCATGTCTTTAGTTGGTGGGTGGGTATGGGTTTTCTTCTCACGCCCCAAAACGCGCACCCTCAAAGCACACCATGCCAAGTTGCTGGGTGCGATCTAAATGGCAACCACATGGTTTACTCGAAGGGGCACCCACAGGAGATGGGTAGCTTTGGTCTTTGAACAACAGCAGCACACACACACACAGCCTGTTTGGTACCCAGCAATGTGGATAGTTGGAGCTTAGTGAATCGGCATGGGGAATGACCTAGCGGAAAGTCTGTGATTCCAGTATCAGTGCTCACCCTTTTGCAACCCCCAACCTGATTGTCAGAGCCTGCTTACAATCTTTATTTCAATTGTAAAGCAACAGGTCGCACATGGGTCAAAACAAAGAGATGTCCATATCTATATATATATATGTATGATGTCTCGACGTTTTCCTTGCCTAGGGCCTTTTTGATGAGCTAAGCGCCCGCGGAGAGCCGGGGCCGAATTTTGATTCACGATGTCCTTTCGGGATCACAACTTGGAGGCTTCCGCGGCTTCGAAGTCTGCCCCAAGGATTCGTCCAGACATCGCACGAGTTTTTGTCGGTGGATGCCCATGCAATGCAAGTAGAGAACCGCGGAAACCCGAGACATGTCCACTTGTGGTCAATGAACCACAATGGGAGTTTACAGAGTTCCTAACTTGTTATCTACTTTCAATATCGAGTTGACATCCAGCGTATTGTTCATCTGAGTTGTGAAACCCTTTGACCACACAACTTCATGCTTGTTGTTGGGAAGCATTTTTTCCATGTTTGCTTATTGTGGTGTAGTGGGAACTCCCCACTTAGCTGCTATTGTTTTTTTCTTCAAGTTTTGCTCCCCAAACCCAACGTCAACCAAGACTTGATCCAGCCAGAAGCGTTGCCCCTCCGAATTTCTCCGCGGCGATTTGTTTTTCCGCCAGGTCAAGGCTAAGGCCGGGAGCCTCAAGCGCGGGGCCACCAACGAGAGCTCCATCAGCAACTTCACCGCTGCGGGCTCCTTCAACAACAGCAACTCGCAACAGCGAGGCGAAGCGGATCCGGCGCGTTTTTGGGACCAGTAGACATGGTGATCACGTGAATCTCGTATGTCCCAAGTTGTATGGTTTTTGGCAACCATGCTTCGACACGTACTTCCGACTTCCGAGTTTGGTTGTGTCCCCGATGTGGGCAGAACAGAATCGTGGCCCGAAAAGGTGCTCACCTTTCCTTTCTGGGTCCTTGCAACTGAGGCAACAAGCACTTCTCGATCACTGGGATGGAGGCGAGCAAAGAAGAGCGCACGCGACTGGGGGCTCGTGAAGATTGGAAAACACCCCAAAATCGCCGGTGCTTCTGTGTGCTTCCATCTAAAACATGGCACCCTCCGGAAGGAGCAAAGACCGCCCTTCTGCAACACCTGGGAAAGGAGGGATGTCCGTGCATCCAGCACTATCTTAAGGGTTCCAAAGTAGCCTGGTACTCCCAGAAAAGTGAGCGGTCGCTTTTTTTTTTACCTTTTGCCATGGTTTGTTTGGGGAGCTTCGTTTTGCAGGGCTCCGGTGGCGCGGTGCACTGGGTGCAACCTTGAAGTTCGCAGTTCGACTCCGGAGCCCTGAGGTTGGCATTGGGGGTTCCAAGGCCAAGTGGCGGTAGCCCTGAATGCTACCCCCGGATTTTTTCAACCCCTGGTTGATTTTGATCGGGGGGTGTCCAATTCCTTTTAGTGGTTGGATTCAGACCACTTTTGGAGGGAACCCCCCCATATGAATAAGCTTGGGTTTATTAATCCGGGGTCGACATTAGTTGGTTTCTGAACATTCGGGAAATTTCTTCAGGTGGTTGGTTTCCTTGTCGCTGACCAAGGGGGCGCCCTACGTTGAGACTCCCTTAGCTGTTGGTTTGGACTGGTGATTTTAGGGATTTGAACCCCTTCTTGAGGGTAATTGGGAAACCATCCGATCATCCCTAATGTCGACCCCGGATGAATAAACCCCAGTTTATGAATATGGGGGTGTTCCCTCCAAAAGTGATGAATCCCCCCCTATTGTTTAATCAGGGGTTTATTATTCCGGGGTTAGCATGAACCTCCAAACCACCAATCCCCAAACCACCAATTGGAGGAAAGCTGTGTTGGAGCGGCGGATTTCCTGCTTTTGCTCGCAGATGTCCCACACAGCACTGCCAGCGAGCGGCCAAGCCGACATGCTATTCTGCATCTATTTGCTGCAGCATTTCCTGGGGCACATGTGTCCAAGCCAGTAGGCACGCCTACCCGATTTCGAGCTCATGGAGCAACACGAGCTCCAGGATGCAACGAAACGGGCTTCCCTGTATGCCTGTCTAAGTAGAAATTTCTGTGATTTGCGCATGGAACCTCATGCTCTTTGTCCCGCTGTTGGATGCCTTCCAGGTTTTTGTTTGTGAATCCTGGGAATAGGTCGCCAGAGGCTGTGCTGTTCAAATGTAATCCCCGATCCTTACCCTGGGTTACGCAAGGAACCAGTCCCCCTTGTAGTAGCTTCCCTCTAGGAAGTATGTGAAAATCGATTGGCCAACCCAAGCCATTTTGAAGAGATACCCTCACTCCCACTAACATGACACCTGACCCAGGGTTTGTTTCGAGGAGGAAAATGCTCTTCCAAATACCCTCTCACAGGTGGTATGTTAGTGGAAGGGAGGGTGGGTGCTTTCAGGTGAAGCAACTCCTGTCTTGAGCCTGGCTCAGCCTGGTTCGAGGTGCCGGCCGAGCCCCCACACACGCAGTACTCCATTACCGGCATGCCTCTCTACGTCGAAGGCGGGTTGGTTGCTGCAGCCCCCGGTTGCAAGGGAAAAGACTCCCTTTTACCCTCCCCTTTTCTGAAAAGCACATGCTGGTGGTTTTAAAGGGCATTTGTCCATGGTCATTACTGTTTCTTTTCTCCCATGGGACTTAATGTGTTTTTGCTTACCCTAAGGGTCATGACCCTTCCAATGCGGACCCCCGGACCTTCCAATGGAGAACCCCGACCTCTCACGGGCCCTCAAAAACAACCCATTTGGAGGGCCCAACAACAGTCGGGACCCTTAGGGTAAAGGGTTTTTTGTTTACCCTGTTGGTTTTCAAAGGAATCCGTCAGGTGTCTTTGTTTTGGGGAACGTATCCGCACGTGGAGCAGCCGAGCCCTGGATCGTTTTTCGGCTATATCGATCTTGGATGGACCGTTTCCTATCGGTTTTGGATCTGCCTGGGAAGGTTTTGGGAGGGGAGGACTTACCGGCAGGAATTTGATACCATCCCCGCTCCCCAGTGTTTGCTTTGTTGGTTTGCCATTTTGTCTATTGGGGAGGAATTAAATACGGTCGCGTATTTGCGTTGCATGCGGAAAATTGGTGTGTGTGTGTGTGTGTCTCTGTGTGTCTCTGTGTGTCTCTGTGTGTTTGTATGTGTTTGTGTGTCTTTGTGTTTGTGTGTCTTTGTGACTGTGTCTCTGTGTGTGTGTGTGTCAGTGTGTCTCTGTGCGCGTTTTTTTTTCTTGACGGTACCCTTAGTGGGCAGGTGTTACAGGGCAGCCAACAAGAAGTTAGATGTGTGTTGCATCCCCTTGTGTTAAGGACGCCCAAATCAACATAAACCGGGTCTCACATGACCTTTGTTTAGCTAGCTGACGGAGTTCGTTTCTAGGCTCTAAGCTTACCTCCAGGATGTTTGAGCTGAAACAGCGTGCTGGAGGGTGCACTAACAGATTGTTCATCGCACGGCCTATGGGACTTGTTCCAGTGAAGTATTGATGCAACATGGCAGGCCGCAAAGCAAAGCACCCTCCCACCCCCAAGTCTATGGAAGTGTGGCCTGCCCCGAGGGGCCTGAGACCAGGGCCCCATGTCCCCTGGGTAACCAGGAGGGGAGGGACCCCCAGGTGTCTTCCAGGCAAATACACAAATATATTATTTTCGCCCATGTGGGATGCGTCAATTGCTTGAGCCGGACTCGAACATAATCTTAGCAGACATTGGTTCCGCCACATACATGAGGGTGTGTTTGTTGTTTGGGGACGCCGACAATGGTAGATGTTTCTTGTCCATCACAGGGGCACCCTCAAAAAAGAGCACGCTTCCATGAGGTTTTGGGTACACGCACTCAACATCTTGATTTGATTGTGACGCGGTGTATGCTTCTATCGGCACGGTCATCCATGGTCTCATCCGGCTTGGGGTCGACCTCCACCTTCAAAACGAAGCTGGTGCGACTCCAAGGCCCGAAGTAAGAATATACACATACACGGGCACGACCACATGTCCTGGGAATTTCAGGGTGGCCTACCCGGGGGCATTTTTTTTTGGAGTTTGGAGTAGTTCCAATGGAATTCAGTAGGGGGTCGGTGTCTCTATTGGGGTAGTCCGTTTATTTTATATATTTTTACAGGGTGCAGTTAGTTTCAATCACACCAAATGTGTCCGAATGTGGGGCAGCTTCAGTTCCCCCCTGCCGGCGGTTGCAGCGGCATCGCTGCAGGCCAAGAACCCCCGCACGGGAAAGAGACGCATGCCACTGCGCTGACAAGGGGGCGAGAGGGTGGGGGGAATCCGACCAGCTGCGGTTTGTTTTGAAATTGTCAGTATTTTACGTAGGGCAGACGGACAACCTCAGAGTTTGGCCATACGGTGAATGCCATTCATATTGTGGATGGACAAAATCCATTTCGCACCACTTGGAAACCATGGACCATGGTTGAAACCATTGTGCATTGGTGTTTACAGGGGAATCAAATCAGTTCAGGCTTTCTTAGGTGTTGCGAAAATATGTTTCGTCTATCCGTGTCCGCAAGTCAAGCCATGTGCTTGGTGTACGTGTGTTTTTATTGTTTTTTACTTCGGGAAGCCGGGCCAAGACGCTGACGGCGGCAAAAGCCATACGTGTGGCTTCCTTTAAGAGCACACCTAGGTTCCCAAAGCGCCTTTTAAGCCCCTGAGCAGGTGGTTGGGCCAGAAGTAGCTTTGAAAGCCCACTTCATCCAGTTCCCCTTCTTTTCCCGGTTTTCCCTCTCGGTTTCTTGCCAAAATATTGACTGCCCGAAAGACTTTCGGGGGTCTTCTTTGCAGCCTTCCAGCATCACTGGCCACTGAGTAGGCGTCCTGACTTAGGTGAAGCGCAAGGCCGCAAGCAAGCGCGCTTCCACCAAAGACAGTTCCATCAGCAACTTCACGGCTTCGGGCTCCTTCAACAACAGCAGCAAGCACTTCTCGATCACTGGCATGGAGGCTGAGAAGCCGGAAGTTGACCGTGCGCAGGTTTAACACCGGTTCTTGGGAAGGAACCGGCATGCCCAAGGTAGTTTCATTCAGACGACTTCACCCGCAAATCATAGGTGGATCCCCCCTTCGGTGCTTGCCAGGGCTGCAAGTGCTTCTAAAGGCTTCGGATGGTTTCAAGCCCGTTCCGACTCAGCCGGTCGCTCATGGAACCCTGCTTTTGGATTGGCAACGGCCTTTTTTTTTGTCGCAGGGTATCTCTCATTGAGTGGGTCAAAGGCAAGGCCCATGCAAAAAACAAACATAAGACCGTGGTTTGTAGCAGCAACAGTCAATTGCAGAGGCCTGAGAGCCTGGACGCAAAGCCATTTGGACTCGAACGGCACCCGCGTTAGCACCCAAGCTCAACTGCGGGTTGAGATCCACAAGATGTATTTCCTTACTTGGGGATCACATGTTTTGCAGAGTTTGAAGTTATAGTATTGTTGGAACTGTCACTGATCTGGAACAAGCGAGACCTGCTCGAGGATGCTGGAGAGGGAAAGAGAAAGAAAGAACTAATCAAAGAATGAAAGGAAGGAAGGACGAAAGACAGAAAGGCACAATTTCAGTTTGGTTCCTGGCACTGCTAACACCCTGCTGTCCTTTTCGCTTGGACAGAAGGTGCCTGAAGCTGAACTGCCTCCGCACAAGCAGTACTCCATCACCGGGATGCCTTTGTATCCAGAGGCTTGGCATGATGTGCATCCAGTTTTTGTTTGAGTTGGCGGACTAGATGGCGAAAGGGCATTGACGAATCTGTGTGTGTGTGTGTGTGTGGGTGCTTTGTGTTTGTTTTTGTGCATATGTTATGTTTGTGTGCTTTGTGAGTGCGGGTGTTGTGTATGCCTGCTGTATGTTTTGTGTACATGTGGTGTGCTGGTGTGTGCGCGCGTGTGCGCGTGTGCGCGTGCGTGCTTGTGCTTGTGCTTGTGCTTGTGCTTGTGTGTGTGTGTGATTGTGTGATTGTGTGTGTGTGTGTGTGTGTGGGTGGGTGGGTGGGTGGGTGGGTGGGTGGGTGGGTGGGTGGGTGGGTGGGTGGGTGGGTGGGTGGGTGGGTGGGTGTGTGTGTGTGTGTGCGTGTGTGTGTGTGTGTGTGGTGTGTGTGTGTGGGGCTGTTGTGTGAGTGGGCATGCTGTGTGCGCGTGGGCAGCGAGTGTCCTTAGTTTGGAGCAACCAACTGGAAAACCACCATTGGTGGGACTGGTTCCGGGTTGGGCGAACCCAAAACTACCCACCAGGCTTTACAAGGCTAAGGCTGGGCTTGGGCTCATTGCCTCCGTTTGAGTTGCCGCTTATGTATTCTTTGTCCGTCAGGTGTGTCTTCTTTGAGTTGCTGCCCCTTTTTTATGATGTTAAAGGAACACGAAGGAAACCACAATTTTGGGGGTCCCCCAGAAAGAGACACGCCCATTGAAGAGACTTTTTTGCATCAGCCGCTGAATTTGTGCGCCAGCGGACAGGAGGAGTTCAAAAGGGGCACTTCGACCTCGACTGCGGCCTCCAACCACTGAAGCGCTGAGCACGGGGCGCCACGACCTCCTGGAAACACACGGCACAAGGAACTTGACGGGCTCTTTCTGTAGCACACGCTGATGGATCTTGAATTTCCCTTGAACGAAACCACGACAAGGCAGCAGGCTGCCAAAAAAGGGAAACCGCAAATGTTAAACCCTTAAAGCATCGAGCGGGTGTCCCTTGTTCAGGTTCATTCGTTTTGGGAGGCGTTTTTTTGAGGCATCCGCGCAGTTTGCCCTCAAACGGGCTTTGGCGCGTGCGGTCTCTCACACGCTGCATGGGCCGGTTCGGTCGTGCGAATGTCAAGCCGGGCCAACGGGAATCTACTTGGCACAACGTTCAGGTGGTTGTTGAAATCCCCTTCCAACGTCAACCAAGATCTTGGCCTGGCGTGACATCTCGGGGCAAGTGCAACGGCTTGCCCCGAGAGCCAAGGATGACTGGCCGGTGCCTGAAGTATTTCTATCAATAGGAAGCCGAGGACTGCACATTCCAAACTACACGTTTGTCGAGCTTGTTTTGGTCTGCATTCAGTCGAGTGACTTATTCCTGGACATGTTGAGTAGTTCAGCTGCAGCTCCTGGTGGTCTTAATATGCCTGCAATCCAGCTGAGGCCAAGGAGGGTGAAGGGTCCCGATTCGCCAAAATGCAAAGTATTGCAAGCGACAACAAAACGCTGCTGCCCAACTCAATCTTGCATGGCTTAACTTGCTCCAAAACATTTATTGGTTTTTGCATCGCAACCTGTCCTTTCACGTGACGACACCACCAGGGCTGTTTTTTGTGTTTCTTGGGATGCTACACTTCACATTGCCGCATGAACAGGACATGTGTTCATGTGTGCACTTGTTGCTTGCCTAAATTAAGTGTGCCAACTTCAAGAGACTTTGCATATTAGAGGAACAGTTCAGCATTCGCAGCGGG